GCCCAACCAGGGTCATTCACTATTCCATCCCTGCTCACCCACTGAAGAAAAGCATCCCAAATGTCTCCTTTCTCCCTTCCCCATCTCTCCCTGCCACCTTCAGGGGACTCAGAACATGCCCTTCATGGCATCTAACCCTTGTAATTCCAAAAACGTATACAGCTTGAGCATGGGCCGCTGGTCATAAGGAAAATGAGCAGCAGCAGGCCATTTGGCCCATCAAGACTGCTCTGCCCGCTTGTGACCTCGGCCCCAATTCCCTGCCTGCTCCCCAAGAACTCAGTCAGGCCTGTCCCTTCGGCGGGGGGGACATCAGCAGGCTTGCTGTTGTCACCGTGCCTTGAATTGTACAGCAGCGATTGAGGCCTTTCTCTCCATCCTGCCTGTGCCAGTTCTTTGCGACAGCGAACCAAATGAGGCCCACCCGCTCCCTGCAGCTCTGTGAACGTTGCCTCCTGACGGAGTCACCTCTGAGTCACCTTGTATTCACCGTTCCAGAGAGCACACACCAGAGAACAATTCTACTCCTCATCTCCTCTGGTAACAGCATCACCATGCTGACCAAGTGTTGCAACAAGGATCAAAGTGATGTGATCAAAAAAAAAAAATTTCAAAAGCAGAATGAAACTGTGCTGATCATTTCATATTTACAATAATTGGGGAAGGAAGCCAATCCTGAACAAGGAAGGAAGTGATGACTAACAGTAATTACACAACATTTCAGCGATAATTTTGTGTAAATTTTATGATCATTGTAAAACGGCAGGAATTTCACAACCCTCAGGTCAGGACCAGGTGGTCCCAGCATCTGGGAAACTGAAGGGTCTCGTGGGGATGGATTTGCAGAAGGATATATGAGAACCCGTGGAACAGACCGAGGGATGAGTGGAGAATCCGCCAAAAAAAATTCCCAGTGCAACTGTTCCAACGTCGGTTCATTCAGTGATATGTTTCATGAAGGTTCCAGGAGGCTTAGGGAATTGACGAGAGTGTGGCCAGGTCGAGTTGGGTTCAAACATCAACCATGGTCATGTTGAATGACAGAACAGGCTTGAAGGGCCAAGTGGCCTCTTCCTGCAGGCTCAAATGGCTCCCATCTCTGACTCCAGTGATTGAGTGCTGCAGTATTTTCTCTTCATGGCAGTCACTTCATGTCAAACTTCACGTTGCCTTCGTTGGGATGGCTCGTTCTGATCAACATCGACATTTCTCTTTCAACAGGTGCCCGGGTAGGCCCAGAGATTTGCTTCAAAGGAAACAAGCAGGGAAACATGTACGGTTACTGTCGGAAGACAGCATCTGGTTTTCAAGGATGCGCTAAACAGTAAGTGACAAGGAGCATGAGGGTCATTCCATTTCCTGGCTTTATCTTTTTAGGAATCACTTGCTGTGTGAATTGCTGTGCAAGCCAACATTTATTGTCTTGAGGCCAACGTTCCATCACATGAGTGAACCAAAAGGACTTTTATAGCAATCGATCACAGTTAACACCCTATTTTTGTTTTGCTGGATTCCAATTTCACCATCTGCCACTGTGTGATTCTAACCCATGACCCCCTGGATTCACCTGGTTTCTGGATTACGAATCAGATGACATTAATACCCCTTGTCCAATGCCTACTTGCGGATGGAAGCTCGGTACTATCCATGGGCTTCAGTTCCACTGCTCCATCGGTATCAGAGCACCCACACGTACGCAACCATCGCCAGTGCTCCCTTCACTGTTTAGCTCCTTGTTTTCTCTTTGAAATGCCCTGCTGCTTTTGGGTTTCTTTTCAAGTCATAGACAGGCACGGCACAGAAACAGACAGGTTCAACTCGTCCATGCCAACCAGGCATCCTAAATTAATCTAGTCCCATTTACCAGCATTCAGCCCATATCCCTCTAAACCCTTCCTATTCATGTACCCATCCAAATGCCTTTTAAATATTGTCATTGTACCAGCCTCCACCACTTCCTCTGGCAGCTCATTCCACACACACACCACCCTCTGTGTGAAAAGGCTTGCCCTCAGGTCCTTTTTAAATCTTTACCCTCTCACCTTAAACCTATGACTCTGTTTTGGACTCCCCTACTTTGCAGAAAAGACCCTCGCTATTCACCCTATCCATGCCCCTCATGATTTTATAAACCTCTGTAAGGTCATCCCCCTCAGTCTCAGATGCTCCAGGGAAAATAGCCCCAGCCTATTCAGCCTCTCCCTATATCTCAAATCCCCCAACCCCTCCAACATCCTTGTAAATCTTTTCTGAGCCCTTTCAAGTTTTGCAGCATCCTTACTATGGCAGGGAAACCAGAATTGAAAGCAGTATTCCAGAAGTAGCCTAACCAATGTCCTGTACTGACTCAACATGACCTCCCAACTCCTATATTCAATGCAGAGATAGTAGGAACTACCGATGCTGGAGAATCTGAGATAACAAGGTGTGGAGCTGGATGAACACAGCAGGCCAAGTAGCATCAGAATCCCCTTCCCCTCCCTCATTTCTGAAGAAGGGTCTAGACCCGAAACGTCAGCTTTCCTGCTCCTCTGATGCCGCTTGGCCTGCTGTATTCATCCAGCTCTACACCTTGTTATCTCCTATATTCAATGCACTGACCAATGAAGGCAAGCATACCAATCGCCTTGATCATTACCCTGTCTACCTGTGACTCCACCTTCAAGGAACGATGAACCTGCACCCCAAGGTCTCTTTGATCGACAACACTCCCCGGGGCCCTACCATTTAGTGTATAAGTCCTGCCCTTTATGCGTTCTAAGACGACCAGCACCACCTCCTCTGTAAAATGGAGACTTTTCAAGACATCACTGTTTATTTCTCCAAGTTCTCTACCTTCCATTTCCTTCTCTGCAGTAAACACTAGCACAAAATTCTCATTTAGTATTTGTCCCTCTCCTGCGGTTCCACGCATAGGCGGCCTTGCTGATCTTTTAGGGGCCCTATTGTCTCCCTAGGTACTCTTTTGTCCTTAATCTATTTGTAGAATCCCTTTGGATTCTTCTTAACCCTTTTTGCCAAAGCTATCTCATGGCACCTTTTTTGCCCTCCTGACTTCCCTCTTAAGTGTACTCCTACTGCCCTTATACTCCTCGCGGTATTTACCCTGATGCTTGTTGTCGATACCTGCTCTATGCCTTCCTCCTTTCTTGATCAGAGCCTAATTTCTCTTGTCATCGAGCAATCCCTACACCTACCAGCCTTGCCCTTCACACTAAAAGGAACACACTGTCTCTGAACTCTTGTTATCCCATGTTTGAAGGCCTCCCACTTTCTAACTGTCCCTTCACCTGTGACTAGCCTCTCCCAGTCAACTTTTGAAAGTTCTTGCCTAATCCTGTCAACATTGGCCTCATTCCAACTTTAACTTTTAGATCCGGTCTAGCTTTTTCCATCTCTATTTGAAGCTTAAAAGAATTATGATCACAAAGAGCTCTCTCACTGACACCTCGGTCATCTCAACATCAGACCCATCACACCCCAGTAATGATCTCCTACAACCTCTTCCATCAGGCAGAAGATACAGAAGCCTGAACACACGCACCAGCGGGTTCAGGAACAGCTTCTTGCTGGCCGTTATCAGACTGATGAATGGCCTCTCTAGCCTCAAATAATGCTGATCTTGCTAACGTTGATCTGGCTTAGCACACACCTGTGCAATGTAACCTGAATGCCTCTGTCTAGGTCTTTTTGATCTGTACATCCTTTGCTTACTAAGATCTGCCAGTACCACTTGTAAACCTTTGTAAATCTTTTCACTGTATTTCGGTACACGTGACGATAAAATAAATCCATCAACCAACTTGCTCTGCCTTATTTCCCCAGCAGGTCAAGTTTTGTTCCTTCTCGCATAGGCACATCGCAGACTGAACAGGAAAATTTTCTTTTGCACTCTTAATAAATTCCTCTCCAACCAAGCCCCAAGCCCTTAACGCTATGCCAGTCTCAGCCTATGTTTGGAAAGTTAAAATCCTCTGCTGTAACCATCCTGTTATTCTTACAGGTAACGGAGATCTCCTTACAAGTTTGCTTCTCAATTTCCCACTGACTAGTGAGGGGCCTACAGTACAATCCCAAAAAAAGTGATCATCCCTTTCTTATTTCTCAGTTCCACCCAAGTAACTTCCCTCGACTATTCCCAGGAATACACTCCCTAATTGGAGCAGTTATGTTATCCCTAATCAAAAATGCCACACCCCCTCCCCTCTTGCCCCCACCTCCTTTTCAATCCTTCCTATAGCATCTATACCCTGAACCTGGAGCTACCAGTCCTGCCCTTCCATGAGCCATGTTTCTATCATAATTATTGATACCTCAGTCCCATGTTCCCAGAAATGCCCTGAGTTCATCCATCTCACTTATCAGGCCTCTTGCATTGGAATAATTGCAGTTTAATGTATCAATCTCACCTCATTCTCAGCCTTGCTCTTGCCTGCCTTGACTATTTGATTTGCTCCTCTTCTCAACTCCTTGGACTTATCTCTTTTCCCACTATCTCTTTGGGGCATGGTTTATCCACATGGCAGTATTCGGGCAGCTGAGCAGAAATATCCTGGGATATCCTGCACCCTCCACCCCCCACCACCTCCCACCCCCTTCATTCCAGCCTCAAACCTCACATCCTCACAGTCAAATGTCTTTGTGCCTTGGTCCCTCCTCAACTTTGCCACTGGCTCTCTCCAGTCCCCACAATCCCCCAAGATTACAGCGCTCCTACCAGTTCAGGCCTTACAGCCCATCTTTGAGTTCCTTTGCCCTGACTCAGCAGTCGTGTTCCCTTGACTCGCTGCAGATCCTCAGACTTTCAAACCCATGACCAATTCCATCTCGAAGGCAAGGGCAGCAGACACATGGGAACACCACCCCCCGCCCCTGCAAGTTCCCCTCTGACCCACTCACCATCCCGGCTTGGAAATATATCGCCGTTCCTTCACTGTCGCTGGGTCAAAATCCTGGAATTCCCTCCCTCAGGGCATTGTGGGCCAACCCACAGCACACGGACTGCAGTGGTTCAAGAAGGCAGCTCACCCCCACCTTCTCAAGGGGGCAACTAAGGACGGGACAGTGAATTTGGGCCTAGCCTGTGAGATCCAAATTCCCAAGAACAAATGAGCGAGCTCTGCACTTCCCCCACCCTCCTGCCCTGATCCTGGCCTTCTCTCTACCACGTCCTCCTCCAGGAACGCGGTTTTTTTAAAACCCACCTCTTTGATACATTGTCTGACTCTGATGCAGTGAATCACAACGTGTTCCTACTTAAAGAAGTTGCTCAACGCTTGTTGATTGCCTCCAGTCTTTGTAAGGTGCGATAAACAACCTCTTTTGTGTGTTATTGGCAAGAACTTTTCAGCGCAGCTTTACAGACTGTAATCATCCAATCCAACACTCTTTGGAATTTCTATCGAAGACTTCAATTATTATGCAGGCCCAGACACATCCTCTGCTAAACTGCTTCCAGGCCCCAAACGCTTGCTGAAAATGTATTTCCTGACAATCTCAGTTCGGAACACTGAAAACAAAAACAGTAGGATAAATTAAATTTCCCTCTCCAACTAATACAAATGTGGATGCTGGAAATTGGAAATAAAAATAGAAATTGCTGGATGAACTCAGATGGAACTCGAAATGTCAACTTTGTTTTGTTCTCTGCACAGATGGCGCCAGACCTGTTGAGTTTCTCCAGCAATTTCTCACTCCCCTTGCTGGGGCACTGGGCAGTCTATCAGTTTATCGGAACCCTGGGAAGTGATGCTATCACCCCACCCCCAGCACTGATTCTCAAAGGTAGCCTCGAGAAGGGAGTGGTATCCAACGATTTTGGTCTGAGCTCAATGGTGACAAGTGTGCCCCGAAGTTAAAAGCACAACTTTGATCAGAGACTCAGAAAAGATTGACCGGGATGTTGCTGGGAATGGAGGGCTTCAGCTATAGGCAGAGGCTGGATAAGCTGGGACTTCTTTCACTGGAGCGTAGGAGGTTGAGGGGCGACCTTATAGAGTTTAAAATCATAAGCGGCAGAGATAAGGTGAGTCTTTTTCCTCAGGTGAAGGATTTCAAGATGAGGGATGCATATTTTTGAGGTGAGAGGGGAAAGATTTAAAAACAACGCAAGGGGGCAATTTTTTCGCACAGAGTGGTTCGTGTATGGAATGAAGGAATGGATGCGGGCACAGTCAGAGCATTTAAAAGGAATAAGAACAGTTTGGAGGGATATGGGCCAATTGTAGGCAGGTGGTACTAGTTTAGTTTGGGATTATGGTCAGCATGGACTGGTTGGACCGAAGGGTCTGTTTCTGAGCTGTATGACTCTGTGACTCAGCAGTACTGCTGCAGTGAGTCTTCCGTTCACTGGGATCAGTCTGGTGGAACGGCCAACAGACAGCGAGGGGAAGCCCAGATCATGAGGAATGAACACTTGGAGGGACGGTTCACCGGTTCCTCACTGAGTCTGTGACCTCGGAGCAGTCTGGAAATGGTTCTCCATTCGTTCCCCATCAGGCATTGTGCAGCAGCTTCACAGAGAGAGAGTTGTATAGTTGGGCCACAGTCAATTCAATCATTTCAAACAGAGTAGCTGAGAGCAGTCTGTCTCGTTTTTGACTTTGTCCAAGCCACTTCCTACAACTCCCCAACCGTGTGAGAACCTCTGACTGCCTTTTCTGAAGTCCGTTCCCATTGATGGGATTTAGTCCCAAGGGACTCCATGATGAGCATGTGGATTTGTTGGTGGAAGTACAAGCTCAGCATTCTGGGATACCGACTGGATATCTGTAAACCTCCCAGGATTTTGCACTTGTCCTTCGTCCTCAGAGCTTAGTAGATGAGGTGAGAATTTACCGGCAGCTCAGTGTGCTGACAGTTGCATCTCTCTGGAATGTTCCGTAGCTGACGAAGGGTTTTGAAGCATAGCCACTTTGGTCTTGTGAAGCAAGCTGGCCACACACTCTCAGTGAGCTTCCACAGTTCGGAAACAAGAAGGAATCTATTTGACTCATGCATTGGACAAGGGGTTGCCAGCTGGGCCCAGCACTTATTACCCCGTCCCTAGTTGCCCCTTGAGGAGGTGGTGCTGAGCTGCCTTCTTGAACTGCTGCAGTCCTCCTGCTGTGGGTTGACCCACAATGCATTTCAGGAGGGAATTCCAGGATTTTGACCCAGTGATGCTGAAGGAAGGGGGATATATTTCCAAGTCAGGATGATCAGTGGAACAGAGGGGAACTTGCAGAGAATGGTTTTGCCCTGTATCTTTCAATAAACGGTTGAATCTTTGCTGCTGGCTGATGCGCAACTATTGGAATTACTTTCCCAGTTCTGGTTGACATGGTGCCCAAGGGACTTGGTATATTTTTTGCCCCTTCATGAGCTCTCTGCTGGGACTTCAAGTCAAGATCTGAGCCACATGTAGCACCTCCAGTGTTGTAGAGCCCACTGAGTGAGGGAGCGATGTGCTGTCTCAATGAGACAATGCATCGCTCCCCTGACTCCCTGCCCAAAACAGCTCCACAGGGGGGAGAGAGAGGAGAACAGGAAGATCCCATTCAGCCTGTCAAGCTTGTCGGACAACTCCGTTTTCATCAGGTAAGCTTTTCGGCCTCTTGACATCACCTCCCAGTCTTGGGACCATGTCCCTTCATCCCCTCGGCCAACAGGAACCTCTCAGTCTCTGGGTTTGAAATGTCTAGTGCAACCACAGCCCTGACAGCTGTTTTGTTTTATTTGCGGGGTTGGTGGGGGGTGGGGGGAAGAGCGTTGGTGATTTCCTCTCCCCTTGCTCGCTGAGTCAATGAGGTGAAATAACTGTGTGGAGGGGGTGTGTAGCGTGACTGCCCATCACTCATAATGTTCTCCCACCTCAATCGACAGGGATATCATGTGTGGACAACTGAACTGTGTTGGTGGGAACAATCAGCAGTCAGGTTTTACCTATGGCTCAATCACCTTCGGAAGGATTGTTTGCCGAGTGGTACTAGATCAAGATGGAAAAGCTGGCTTGGTGCAAAATGGAGCAAAGTGCGGGGCCAGCAAGGTAATGGGAACGAGTGGGCTCATTGACTGACTCAGGGATAGCTCTGGGAATGTCTGGGATCTGATCCCAACAGGCTCACATCTGTACTATTCTTAGTGGGGCCATCACGTCATATCAACACTTTTGGGGGTAATGCTCTTGATTCATTCAGTCACGGAATCGTAAAGTCCCGCCAGTGTGGAGCCAGGCCATTCAGCCCATCAGATCCACACCAACCCTCCGAAGAGCATCCCACCCAGAAGCATACCCCTCCCTCCCTCCTTCCCCACTCTATCCCTGTATTTCCTATGGCTAACCCACATCCTTGACACCATGGGCAATTTAGCATGGCCGATCCACCTAGCCTGCACATCTTTGGACTGCGGGAGGAAACCGGAGGACCCAGAGGAAACCCACGCAGACACGGGGAGAATGTGCAAACTCCACACAGACAGTCGCCCGAGGGTGGAATCGAACCAGGGTCCCTGGTGCTGTGAGGCAGTAGTGCTAACCACTGTGCCACCGTGCCACCCATGGGATGTTGGCGTGACTGGCTAGGCCAGCATTTATTGCTCATCCCAAACCGTTTAAGAGTCAACCACATGACCGTGGGTCTGGAGTTACGTGTAGGCCAGAACGGGTAAGGGGAGGGCACATTTCCTTGGTTGAACGACATTGGTGAACTGGATTGCACAGTTTCAGCTTCCAGAATCCATGCTCCAAATTTTCATTCAATTCAAATTTCATCACGTGCGGTGGTGGGATACGACCGGCTGTCAGAGGGCATTAGCCAGGAGTTCTGGGTAGTTAATCCAGTGAAGTGACCGTAACGCCACGGTCTCCCCCGATTGGTTGTTTGGCCCATCTAGCCTTGCTGGTTCAGTTTCACCCCCACACCCTCCTTGCGTATTTGCCCGGGCAGCTTTGACTCAGAATGAGTGAGGTTCTGCCAACCTTCAGCTGGAGCCTTCTGGGATCCTCACGGCAGGCCGAGCCACAATAATTTCCGCCCAGCTCCCCCTCCAGATCTCCCTGCAGCGGCCCGAAGTCTCGGAGCGTCGGTGGGTGGGAGTCAGGAACTCTCTGTCGAAATAGGGTGGCACGGTGGCTAGCACTGCTACCTCACAGCGCCAGGGACCCAGGTTCAATTCCACCCTCAGGCGACTGTCTGTGTGGAGTTTGCACATTCTCCCCGTGTTTGCATGGGTTTCCCCGGGTGCTCCGGTTTCCTCCCACAGTCAAAAGATGTGTAGGTTAGGTGGATTGGCCATGCTAAATTGCCCATTGTGTTCAGGGGTGTGTAGATTAGGTGGGTTATAGGGGGATGGGTCTGGATGGGATGCTCTGAGGTTTGGTGTGGACTTGTTGGGATGAAGGGCCTGTTTCCACACTGTAAGGATTCTATGATAACTTCTATTCTATGATCCCCTCTCTTGTAAACCTGTCCGTGAGACCTGTCCGCACAGCTCTGTGTGAACTTCTCCAATCTCTCTGTCCTTCCTTAGAGATAGTAAGAACTGCCGATGCTGGAGTCAGAGATAACACAGTGTGGAGCTGGAGGAACACAGCTGGCCAGGCAGCATCAGAGGAGCAGGAAAGTTGACGTTTCAGGTCGGGACCCTTCTTCAGAAATGGAAATTTTCTGAAAAAGGATCCCGACCCAAAATGTCGGCTTTCCTGCTCCTCTGATGCTGCCTGACCTGCTGTGTCCCTCCAGCTCCACACTGTGTTATCTCCGTCCTTCCTTGTCCTCTCTCACTGAGACAGGGTATTGGGGGTAAGTGGTCCCATTCCAGTTGGGTCAGAGGGACATGGGGTTTGGCAGCTGTTCCAGGCAACGCCTCAAAGCGAATCAGCGACCGTTTTTTCCCGGTTTGAGGTGCCTGTCTGAGTGAGATGGGGGTGGTGGAAGGTTTGTGTTTTTCCTCACTTCTGTGTGAGGTGCTCATCATTGATGAGTCGATGTCCGCGTGATCAGCTCCTCTGACGATGCGAACCTCAGTCACGAATGTGCCCCCGTTCTTTCTGCCCTCTCTCCCAGATGTGTGTCAACTCCAGGTGTACCGACGTGCCAGTTGTCGATAGTTGTTCCAGCAGGTGCCCACCGCGTGCGGTAAGACAGCCAACTCACTCGTGCCCATTTGCTTCAACGTCCCTCTGAGCCGTGGTGAAACCGAAGCTGCCCGGCCTTTCGGTGACGTCTCCTCGATGCTGTCTTCACCACCACCCCCCCAGCTCCTGACGCACCCGAAATTCTCCCTCCACCCCAGGCTCGCTGTGCCACCCACCCACCTGGGCCCCTGCTTCAGCACACGCTGTCTGCTTTTGGCTTGAATTGTGTTTGAAAAGTGCGGGCACACAGTTATACGACACAGAAACAGACCCTTTGGTCCAACTCGTCCATGCCGACCAGATATCCTGAATTAATCTCGTCCCATTCGCCAGCATTTGGCCCATATCCCTCTAAACCCTTCCTATTCATGTACCCATTCAGATGCCTTTTAAATGTTGTCATTGTACCAGCTTCCACCACTTCCTCTGGCAGCTCATTCCATACACGCACCACCCTCTGTGTGAAAAAGTTGCCCCTTAGGTCCCTTTCAAATCCTTGCCCTCCCACCTCGAACCTATGCTCTCTAGTTTTGGACACCCCCACCTCAGAGAAATGACCTTGTCTACTTACTCTATCCATGCCCCTCGTGATTTTATAAACCTCTTTAAGGTCACCCCTCAATCCCCGACATTCCAGGGAAAATAGCCCCAGCCTATTCAGCCTCTCCCTATAGCTCAAACCTGCTCAATCCTTGTAAATCTTTTCTGAACCCTTTCAAGTTTCTTTCCTATAGCAGGGAGACCAGAATTGAACTAAGTATTCCAAAAGTGGCCTCATCAATGTCCCGTACAGCTGCAAATGACCTCCCAAGTCCTATACTACACACTGATCATTAAAGACAAGCGTACCAAACGCCTCCTTCACTACCCTGTCTATCTGTGAGTACACTTTCAACAAACTATGAACCTGCACCCCAAGGTCTCTTTGTTCAGTATCACTCCCCAGGACCTTACCATTAAGTATACAGGTCCTGCCCTGGTTTGCCTTTCCAAAATGCAGCACCTCACATTTATCTAAATTAAACTCCATCTGCCACTCCTCAGGCCATCGGCCCAATTGATGAAGGTCCAATTGAACACTGAGATAACCTTCTTCACTGTCCACTACAGTTCCAGTTCTGGCATGATCTTCAAACTTACTAACCATACCGGGTCATACAGCCAGGCACCACCAGGCTGCTGGTCAGAGTGGAACCCACGAGCATCCTGTTCTCAGGTCGTCCGTTCCTGTTTCCGACAAGTGAAGATGCTGTAGAGAGCACCCTCTGGAGAGGCTGATGGAACTGCACTCTGTTCCACCTTGGAACATGATGCAAGTTCAGCGACATCTTGTCGTGTGAGACTGTTGAGCAGAAAGGGCTAATGCTGCATGCTCCCCGTAGTTCTGGGGCTGGTGTGTGTGTTTGTGTGTGTGTGTGTGTGTGTGTGTGTGTGTGTGTGCGCGCGCACGTGTGCATGTGAGGGTGTGTGCACGCGTGTATATGTGTGTGTGCGTCTGTGTCTGTGAGTATGGATGTGTGATGTGTGAGAGAGTGTGCGTGTGCATGTGTGTGTGTGCGTGTGTGTGTGGTCTCTGTGCGTGCGCACGTGTGTGTGTGTGCCTGTGTGTGTGTGTGCGTGTGTCCGTTTGTGTGTGTGTGTGTGTGTGTGTGCGCGCGCGTGTGGTTTTGTGTGTGTGTGTGTGTGTGCGTGTGTGTGCGTGCACATGTGAGGGTGTGTGTGCGCGTGTGTATGTGTGTGTGTGCACGCGCATATATGTGTGTATGTGTGTGTGTGTGTCTGTGTCTGTGAGTATGGATGTGTGTATGTGTGTGAGTGTGTATGTGTGAGAGAATGTGCGTGTACATGTGTGTGTGTGTCTCTGTGTCTGTGTGCGTGCACACGTGTGTGTGTGTGTGTATGCATGTGTATATGTGTGTGCGTGTGTCTGTTAGTGTGTGTGTGAGTGTGTGTGCGTGTGGTTTTGTGTGTGTGTATGTGTGTGTGTGTGTCTGTGTATGTGTGTGTGTCTGTGTATGTGTGTCTGTGTGTGTCTGTGTGAGTGTGTGTGTGTGTTATCTGTTTCTGCTGTGCAGTCTCTTCCAGTCTGCAGCTGGACCCTGTAAGCAGGAGACACAGATTGACCCTGCATCTGATCAGAGCTGACAATGTGAATGTAGTCGTCTGGTCTACATGAACTGTAACTTGCTTTTGTCATTAACCTTACTGGAGAGTCAAGGACCGGTATCTTCTGCTGACTCAGAAGATGCTTTCCTCTCCCTGCCCCAGGGGCCTTCAAAGTCCTCAGCCCACTCCTCCTAATGGATTGAAAAGACAAGCAGCCCTCCCCAGCTCCTCCCGGATGTTGCGGGCCACCCTCTGAGTCTGTCTTTGTCTCCATTCTGCAGGTGTGTAACCATCTACAGCAATGTCAGTTTGAAGAAGGCTTCTCCCAAATCGAAAGCGGTCTTCCTACATACGGTATGAGCTGCATGTCTGCACCTCACCCTGTCTCGCAGTGACCAGGCAGCGACTCTGCCCCGTGTTGAATTTTGTCGGACACACACCTCTCCCCCTCTCCTGTGGCTTGTACCCCAGCCGGTGGACCTGAGGGTTTGTGGGGTGGGGGTGGTGTTGGAGAGTGACGGTGGTTGTGTGTGACCTCCTGAAGTACCTCATGCTGGAGACTGAGCGTTTGCTCTAACTGCCTGGCCGTGGGAGTTTTGCAGTCTGTTCTGTTGCAAGGAAGAGCTTTGGAGGGAGTGTTGTCATGTATCATTGCTGCCCTATGCTGCAACGAGTTATCAGAGATGGTATTCTGTGCTCTGGTGGAGTCTTCTTTTTCTTTCACTTTTAGCCTTCTCTGAGACACCGAATACATTTGAGGAGGAGACAGACAGTTGAAAGGTTGAGGGGTGACAGAGAGCCGGCAGGAAGTTGGAGTTGGGGCCAAGATGACATCAGCCATGAATTCTCTCTGGAATGGCAGGGAAAGCTCGAGGGACTGAATGGCCTACTCCTTAGCTACTCGCTGAGTTCGTGGCAAACTCAGAGTTTGTGGCAGTGTTCTAGACACTGCTTCCCGATCTTCCTGAGATTGGGAATACGGAACACTGATTGACCCCCACCCAGATAACCCCGGCAGGATTGGAGAAAATAAACAATGAGGAAGGTTCTTCCTCACCTGATGATTAAATTGTCAAGAAGAGTTAAGAAGATGTAGAGCTGGATGAACACAGCAGGCCAAGCAGCATCAGAGGAGCAGGAAAGCTGACGTTTCGGTGTCATCAGAGTGATAACTTGTCATCTTGTTCCTCCTAGCCATCGTCATTATTGTCTTGGTGATCATCTTACTTATCATTGTGGCCATTGGAGTGGCAGCTTGTGTACACAGGAAGCACACAAGGAAACCGACCGTCACACCAAGGTAAACGCAGTTCTGTTAATCTGCAGAGATACACCTTCAGAGGTTATCGTACCTTGACAATCCTTTGAACACAGTGGACTGCACAGCCCACTCTGCGAACCTCAGGCCTGTCACAGCATTCGGGACTCTCTCCGGTGTCAGTGCTGAGGGAGTGCCGCATTCCCAACCATGCCGTCTCTCAGATGAGATGTGGAAACCAAGGCTCACCACCCCCCACAGCTCCAACCTCTCCGATCAACAGCAACATGCCCACGCTCTCAGATCAGGGAAGGCTAGCTAGTGGTGCCCTGTACAGTATGGTGGCTGCCTCTGGAATCTTGTTTTGTGCCAGTTGGTTGCTGCAATGACAAGAAAACACTCTTCAGGAAACCTCTCATTGATCTTAAACCTGACCCCCAGGATCTCACAGAGCTTGCTTAGCATATCCTTGGATATGCATGCACAGGCACGCACACACACAGACACACACACACACACAGACACACACACACAAGCACAGACACACACACACACAAAGAAACACACACACACACACAGACACACACACACACATACACACACACACACACACAGAGACACAGACACACACACACACACACACAAGCACACAGACACACACACACAAACACACAGACAGACAGACACACACACACAGATACTCATACAGACGCAGATACACACACACACAGGCATACACTCATACAAACACACAGACATACACTTGCAGATACATACACACAAACATACGACACACTCACAGACACACAGACACACACACATAGACATACAGACAGACACTCACACACATGCAGATGCACACACAAACACAGCCACATACATAAACGGAAACACACACAAACAAGAGCATACACACATACAAACACACAACAGACACACACAAACACACCGACACGCACACACAGATATACATGCAGACACACACACAAACATGCATGCACATGCACACACAGACACAAACACACACACGCAGACACGGACACACACACATCATAACAGACACACACACTCATGCACACACAAACACACATGCAAACGCACACAAACACATGCAGGCACACACATGTGGGTACGTACACACACAAACACAGATACACACACACAAACACACGCACATAGACACACACACACAGATGCATAAGCAGACACACACGCACACACAAATACAGACACATGCGTACACAGACACACACACTCACTCTCTCTTCCCTGGGCAGGAAGAATTATCTGCTTGTTTCTGCACAGCCCCCCTGCGATTCTATGCATGGATTATGCTGGGATCCCAACGTTTTGGTCACATTATTCGAAGGGGCGTTGTGTGTCAGTGTCACTGAGTGTTTCAGAAAAGTCCCCGTGGGCTAGGTTACCTCTTCCTTGACGGTTACCTTTTGACGATACCTTTGGGCCTTCTGAACCCACAGGCATGTCTGCTGGTGGCACTCCCTGAGCTGTGAGATGTTGATGTAACCTCTTGATTCTGTCTCCAGGACACAGCAGCAGCAAACAGCAGGACTATCAAACCCAGCCTTCACTGACAGTGCCCCAGCCACACCGCGTGTGATGAGACCCCCGATGCCAAAGGCAAGTCGTTTCACTCGCGTTGTTTCTGCTGTGGCTCAGCAACTGCCCGTTTGTCCTCACCGAGAATGTGGGACCAAATCCCCACCAGGGTACTCGGAGATTCTCGCGTGTCAAAGCAGAAAGAAATTGAACTGAGGAGAACCTGAAAAACGACCACAAAGTTGCTGACATGCGCTGACTCATGTCCCTGAGTGCACTCCTCTGATGGAGAAAGAGGCCATTTGTCCCATTGGCTCTCTGCTAGCTCAGTCAGACCCAAGTGCTTCCAGTCACAGAGCAAGGTGATTGGTTGCCCATTGACCTGTAGATGGTATGCGCCAGTCAAGGGGGAGCAGGGCTGATCTCTCTGGCTGGATGGGGAACATTTTTATTCATTCATTGACGGGCCGAGGGCATCACGAAAGACTAATTGCCTAAAAGTCAGTCATATCTGGAGTCAAATGTAGGCCAGACTGGGTAAGGATGGCAGTTTCCTTCTCTAAAGGACATTAGTGAATCAGACGATTTTTTCCAACAATTGATAATGGATTGATGCTCATCATTAGACTCTTAATTCCAGGTTTTTTTTTATTGAGTTTAAATTCCATCCTCTGTCGGTGGAGGCATTTGAACCTGATATTACCTGGGCCACTGGATTAACAGTCTACTGATACCAACCAGCGATCGCCTCGCATCCCCCCCCCAATATTTAGGGGCATGGTGGCTCAGTGGTTAGCACTGCAGCCTCACAGCGCCAGGGACCCAGGTTCAATTCCACTCTCGGGCGACTGTCTGTGTGGAGTTTGCATATTCTCCCCGTGTCTGCATGGGTTTCCTCTGGGTGCTCCGGTTTCCTCCCACAGTCCAAAGATGTGCAGGTTAGGGTGGATTGGCCGTGCTAAATCGCCCCATAGGGATGTGTAGATTAGGTGGGTTATAGGGGGATGGGTCTGGGTGGGATGCTCTGAGGTTCGGTGTGGACTTCTTGGGCCGAAGGGCCTGTTTCCACACTGTAGGGATTCTATAATCTATGAGGGAGCTGTACCTTATGGACCTGTTCCTGGTTCTTGCTCATTCTTGTGTTGCATTTCAGAGCCAAGCAGCAGTCATTCCGCCTCCTCCAACGTACAACACAGTCCCATCAGCACCTTTCCCCCCTCAACAGGTAAGTCGTCTCTCAGCACAGTTCCCTTCTCAGGATGAGCAGACACTGAAACCCCCTTTGTCTTAATGTTCGCAGGGACGACCTCTTCATCCACTCAAACCATCAGACAAGGTATGTTGACTGGGGCCCTCAACCTTGCACTCAGCTCGTGGTAAGATATAAAGAGGTCGGATCTGGCCCACTTGGGATAGGAGGTGGTTCCGAGGAGATTCAATCAAGCAGAGGTCTGCACGGAGCAGATGGTATTGGGGGGTGGGGGGTTGGTGACCTGAGAAACTGTTCCTTTGGTGGGGAGAGAGGCAGAGCTGTTGTCGTTGGCGACGAAAGAGATGGAGAGAGAAAGGCGCTACGCTTTCTCACACAGGGACTCTCAGACGCAGGAGCAGGATCTTCCCTTGCTGCGTCTTGAGGGAAGAGGTCGGAGCTTAGCTCTCAGTCCTGCGTGGGTGACCGGTGGAGGGAAAAGGATGAGCATTCAGACAGACGTGGGCCATTTCCAGTCCCTGGGGGACCAAGATGGGGCAATGGCGGTGAACGCAAAGGGGACGTAAAAGGCCAGGCTAGAAAACAGGCAGCCGATGCAGCCCTGTCAAAGGGCAGTCTGGGTTTGAAAGGTGGGTAAGATTCCTCCATCTACTCCATTCCCCCCCACCGCCCACCCAACACACACACACACACACACACACACAAGCTGTAATTCTCTCTGTGCGCGAGCGAGTTCTGTGCGTTTTGCCTCTGCCTCCACCCACCTGGCATTAACCCTTGTGGTTTTTTTTGTTGTGTTCTGTCTTTGCAGCCCCGTGTTCCCAGAGCACCCCCAAAGCCGCCAGGAATGAAACCTCCGCAGCCCCCCAACTCCAAGGTCAGGGCACCCTGATGCGATCTTGTCTAACGTGTTTGTTTTTGGGGGAAGGGGAGGGATGGTGGGCATAGCCTGAAATTCCCCCCACTTACCCCCACACTACCCCCCCTGCCCCCACCAACTTTCTGAAACCTGTGCAGTCCATCTGAGCAGTCAACACATTGTCTCTCCTTATTGTGGTCTCCTGACCTCAGGAAGGAAGGATGTTCTGGCCTTGGAGGGAGTGCAGTGAAAGTTTACCAGGCTGATTCCTGAGATGTATGAAGGGAGACCGGATCGGTTCGGACTATATTCACTGGAGTTTATAAAACTGAGATGGAGGGGATCTCATAGAGCCCTGAAAAATTCTAATGTACTGTTAGAGGGTAAATGCAGGAATGATCAGGAAGGATCCCTGATCAGGAGGGAGATAAGGATATTGGGGAGGCCATTTAGGTCTGAGATGAGGAGAAATGTCTTCGCCCAGAGAGTGGGGGAGCCTGAGGAATTCTCTGTCACAGAAAGCAGTCCAGTTCAAAACATTGAATGCCTTCAAGAAGGAGTTAGATTGAGTTCTTGGGGCCAAAAGATATGGGGAAGAGAGTGGGAACAGGGCACAGAGTTGGAGGAGCAGCCATGATCATACTGAATGGTACAGCAGGCTTGAAGGGCTGAATGGCCTATTTCTGCTCCTACGGTCTACGTTCCTATGGGCTGGGACCATTTGTGCAGCAGTTTGGATCAACTGACCGGCTTGCTCCCATCCCGAGGCACAGAAGGAAGCTTCCAGTAAACAGGCCAGTGGTTCCCGCTCCCTGCCTGGCTTCATCCCAGTGCTGGCTGTGCCTCAGGAGGTTATGAGTTCAAGTCCTTCTCCAGAAACAGAAAGTCAGGAGTGTCTTCATCCCTCTGTGCATGTCGACATGGGTCAGTGCATTGGTATCCCCCCACCCCACCAAAGGCTTTAGTGAAGATTTCTGTTTATAATCCAGCAATGTCCATATGTCGCTATCACTCCTGTCCCTGTAGTAGGAGGAAACTGCCACACAATTGCCCACTCTCGGGGAGAGCCACCTTCTTTCTCCTCCACAGTGAGGGAGAGTGAATGATGGAAAAGCCTGTAATGTGGGGATAAGGAGAGTTTACTGAGAAAGCAAGTAGGCTGTCATCCCCAGACTCAGAAACTTAGTCACTTCTGGATTTTGGGACCTGGGGGAAAATGGAATAATGTTAGAATGTGTGCAAACTGGGTTTTTTTGTACATTCACAGGATGAGGGCGTTGCTGGCTAGACCAGCATTTATTGCCCATCCCTAATTGCCCAGAGGGCAGTTAACAGTCAATCACATTGCCTGTGGGTCTGGAGTCACATGTAGGCCAGACCAGGTAAGAATGGCAGTTTCCTTCCCTAAAGGATCTTGGTGAACCAGATTCTGATAATTGACAATGGATTCATGGTCATCATTAGCCTCTTAATTCTCGATTTACATTGAATTCAAATTTCACCGTCTGCCATAGAAGGATTTGAACCTGGGTCCCCAGAACGTTATCCGGGTCTCTGGTTTAACAGTCCAGTGATAATACCACAAGGCCGTCATCACCCCCTCGGAAGTCAATCTGAAACTGAAATCGGTGATCAAGTGTTCAAAAGCAACTATAAAACTGTTGCTCCTTGGTCAAAAAAATTGCATCTTCCATGCTTTCAATCATAACATAGTTTGCAAAAATGAGGCTGTTCACTGAAAGTCAGGCTATTCGGCCTCTTGGCTTGGGAAGGGCAATTGGAACATCCCATAACCCCTTTTGCAGTGAGACACAGGATGCACAGGACTGAAATCTGACTGGCCAGGTCGGGGGGAAATGAGGCAGAGAACAACACTGATGAGACAAAAGCGGGCAAAATTCTCGAGGGGTGTGTGTGTGCGTGTGTGTGTCTGTCTGTGTGTGTGTGTCTGTCTGTGTGTATTAGTGTGTGTGTGTGCCTGTCTGTGTGTGCCTGTGTGTGTGCGCATGCGTGTGTGCGTGATGTGTGTGTGCATGTATGTGCCTGTGTGCATGTGTGTGTGTGTGAGAGTGTGTCTGTGTCTGCGTGTGTCTGTGTGTGTGTGTGTGTGTGCGCATGTGCATGTGTCTGTGTCTGTGTGTGTGTGTGCGAGAGTGTGTCTGTGCGTGTATGTGTGTGTATGTGTGTGTCTGTATGTGTGCGCGTGTGTGTCTTTGCGTGTGCGTGTGTGTGTATGTGTGCATGTGTATGTCTGTGTGTGTGTGCGTGCATGTGTGTGTGTGCATGTGTATGTCTGTGTGTGTGTGCGTGCATGTGTGTGTGTGCGTGCATGTGTGTGTGTGCATTTGCATGTGTGTGTGTGTGCACGTGCGTGTGTGCGTGCATGTGTGAGAGTGTGTGTGCGTGCGTGTGTGTGAGGGGTGTGTGTGTGTGCGTGTCTGTGTGTGTGTGTGAGTGTGTGTGTGTGGGTGTGTGTGGGTGTGAGGGGTGTGTGTGTGTGAGTGCGTGTGTGTGGGTGTGAGGGGTGTGCGTGTGTATCTGTGTGTGTGTGTCTGTGTGTGTGTGTGTGAGAGTGTGTGTGTGTGCGTGTGTGTGAGTGTGTCTGTGCGTGTATGTGTGTGTGCGCGTGTGTATGTCTGTATGTGTGTGCGTGTGTGTGTCTGTGCGTGTATGTGTGTGTGTGTGCATGTGTATGTCTGTGTGTGTGTGTGTGCCTGTGTGTGTGTGTGTGTGTGTGTATGCATGTGTGTCTGTGTGCGTGTGACTGTGTGTGTGTGCGTGTGTGTGTGCCTGTGTGTGTGTGTGTGTGTGTGCGCGCGTGGAGAAAGGAGTTCCCTTGCAGGTAAGAGTACAGTGACCATCTTCGTTGTCTGATTTTTAGGTATTGATGCCCCCAACCAGACCAAGGAACTGAATGATACCAGGGAGGATGGTGAGCAACACAAAGCCCTCGGGGAATTATCCTGTACCTCCTGCCCCCTCGGATATGCTGGAAAGCATTGGAATGTATCAAACCAAAGTGGAAGGCAAACCGTCTATTTGCGCAGGACCTGTATTCAATCCATGGAGTTGTCATTAAAGAGAGAAATAAAGTGCCAGGAATGATCAGCCTGCATGTTCAGGAGGGAAGGTGGGAGAGTTTTTGGGGGACTGTTGTTGCGAACCGTTGGAACTGTACACAGAATTCTCTGCATTCCAATGCATGTTTGCTGCTTCCTTGGTCTTGGGGAACCACTTGCGTTTAAAGGTACCTCTCAAAAGTCTATTTGTTTTTCAATAAAAAGAAACTCTCTCTTTCAGTTTCCTGTATGTTTGTGCATCTTTGTAACAATAAACTGGGAGGCAGGAACAGTCAAGTGATGGCCAGAAAAGGTGCCAGCCGCAACCTCAGGCATAAGTTCCCAGTTCACCAGAAAAATCTGTTTATTTAGGCTGTTTTAAAATTCCTCAGAAAGCCCGGGGAAATGGTTGCTCAGGGAGGAGGTTGCTGAAGTGCTTTGTAAACTTCCACCCGTCTGTGAAGTGTCCTGCAGTCTCGTCTAACCACGCCAATGAGTGATGCCAGTGCAGTGGCTTCTCTGAGCGCCTCCTGCTGGTGGGACGCAGGGGTGCACTGTTTGTGCATTCCTATCTCTGAAAGGGTCTGGGTAAACGACACAGCAACCATCTGTACAGCCCATGTGCTGGCATCAATGCTGCCTTACCAGCCAAAGCCTCCTCCTCTCTACCAGCGAGCATGTCACTCACCTTCAATACTGTTCACCTCAACCACTTTTTCAAAACTTACGGATTCTCCACGCACTCGGGCTGAAGAGGTTTCTCCTGAATTCCTGTTTGGCAACCACTCATCGCAACCTGGAATCGTTCGGTCCTCGTTTCCAGATTTCCTGGATTCCAGCGAGTAAAGTTCCAAGAGGAACTGGCTGACCAAAGCATAAACCAGCAGGAGCTGCTCGCACTCACCCTTGACCTGGGAACTGAACACAAGTCGAAGACAACTTTTTTTTTGAAGATGTGATGTTGAAGAGAGACAGCACCTGCAGCTCAGGGAGAAATGCAGGGATAGGCAAGGGCAACAATTACGGTAATGATATTTCCATTCGCAAGATTGGGTCTCGGGCCATGACAAGACGCAAGAAACAATGGCTCAGATACACATGCACGCAGGCCTCTTGTTTCCGTTGGGCCAGGTTCCTGAAGGTCATGCAGGCTAGAAGCAGCAACAGGCCATTCAGCCCCCTCATGCCTTCTCCACCATTGGCCATAAACATTGCTTCGTGTCTCTCAGCTCCTCCACCACCCATCATTCACCTTAACCTGCTCATTTATCAAAGATCTGTCTGACTCAGACTGGAATATCTTCGAATGGGAAACCTTCCGAGGCAGAGAAACAGACTGGCCAATGACCCTATGGGCGACTGAGTTACTCCTCATTGCTCTCTTCAATGGGCACCCTGTTATCTTTGAACTTTGACCCCCAGTTCTAGATTGCCTCACAGATGGCAACTGTCTCCCAGCATCTGCCTGCCGAGCCCCACGTTCAAATCTGATATCATTCAATAAGATCGCCTCTCATCGTCTTAACCCCAGGGACCGTATTCCCAAGCTGCTTAGCAACTTCCACACAATCAAATCCCTTCAGCCCGAGGAATCAGCTGGGAGAGCCTTCTCTGGAATGCTCCCATTGCAATTCCTTCAGAAAGGAGATTGAAACTCTACATTGCCAGATGCGTGCATTTTCCTCAATGACCCAAAAGGTTGCAGCAAGCCTTCACTGTATTTATAATCCCTCATCATAACCACCCCCATTGTGATCCTAATCTCTCCTTGACCCTGCAGACTGACCTTTCCGTGATTCTTGCACAAGGATTTCAAAATTTTTCTGACAGCTCTCTCTCTCTTTCATTACTATTCTGCTTTTCTGTGCCCCTCGTTGGCTTACGCACTCTTGACATTTTCCCAGGTTATGGCCCTGGTTACATTCTCGCCCAATCACTCACCTATCCAGATCCTTTGTGTCTTCCCCACAATTAGCTCTGCCACCTAACATCGTGACATCAACAAAACACTCCCGGCTTTCCCATCATCCAGATCACTCATACTGACAGTCCTAGCGCTGAGCCCTGTGACACTCCACTGTTTACAATCTACCAACCTGAAAATGACCCATGGCCACTGATTCTCCCTTTCCTGCTCACTGTCCAATGGTGCAAATGTGTCTCCCTCTCTCTCCCTCTCTCAACACTGAGAGTCCTGGAGTTGGATAGTGACCTTGTATGTGAGACATGATCAAATAGCTTAAGAAGTCACATTACGTCACATCTACTGTTTCCCCTTTATCCACCCTTCTGGTAATATGCTCAAAAAATCTCCAAAGATCTCCAAAGTGTTCTGAAGAAGGGCCACTGGAGCTGAAACATTAACTCTCCTTTCTGGCCACAGAATGCTGCGTTTTCCCAGCAATTTCTGCCTTTGCTTTTGACTCCAAAGTTCTTTCCCTTTCTTAAGGTCTGTCTGATGGTACAATGGATTTTTGAAACGTCCTGTGACTATCTTATGTATCATGGATTCTTGCTCTCTCCAAGTGACAGGCTGTTCCAGTCGCTTAAGAGGCCGTTTATGTCAAAGGATACACGAGGGGATGGATGATTAGAAGGACTTAGAGTGGGGAGTTGAATCTGTGTCTGCCCTGTGTCACTGTGCAAATTAGTGTCTCTTTACCATTAATCAATGCTGCTGCTTTCATCTAAATTGCAGGCACCTAGTCCAGCTAATCTGCCTGTGTCCCTTTCTATACAACAGCCCAGCCACTTCCCTTTCCAAATGTGATAATCTCAGTCTCTTTGGGTGATGCACCAACACACACAAAATTCTTGCACCAACTCCATCTTACTGGAAGTTCCCCTTTGTTTGCATATGAACGTAAAACCTAAGAGCAGGAGCAGACCATTCAACCCCTCAAGCCTGCTCCGCCATTTAATATGATCATGGCTGATCTCATCTCGGCCTTAACTCCACCTTCCTGCCCCGCTCCCCAATACCATTCAACCTGTTAATCATTTAAAATCTCTCCGTCTCCTCCTTAAATTTACTCAAGCATCCACTGCACTCTGGGCTGGTGAATTCTATAGATCCACAACCCTTGAGAGGAGTAATTTCACCTCATCTCTGCTTTAAAATCTGCTTCCCCTTCCCCTGAAACGATGACCTCTCAGTCTACGTCGCCCCACGTCTGCTCTCTCAGTCTCTGTTTAGGCAATTTCCTGGAGTTAATCTTCATCAAGCGTTCTCCTGTCTGTGTGCTCTCTTTTTCAGTCCCTCAATATCTGTTGAACAGATTGTGGTTAAATCCATCCACAAAGTGGCATCTGGTTCTTTCCGGTTTTCTCTGTGTAACTGTGACTCCGTCCGTTCCTGAAATTCTCGCGTGGATTTTCTCTCTCTCTCTCTCACTCACTCTCACTCTCTCTTTCTCTCTCTCCACCCCTGCCCCCATCTTTTTGTCCCTCTGAGGTTGTCACATGTTGCCCAAAATTGATCCTTTCTCCAGGCTACCAGCTCACTCTTGTCTTGTACAATTCCATCCCTTTTTGTGAAACCCAAGGTCCAGGAGAGGAGGTGACTTCAGGGTCCAGGAGCAGGGGGAGGGGCAGGGCAGAAGGTGAGGTAGGGGGACATTGTAGGCTAGTAGCAGCTGGTGGTTTGTTGTTTGATGGCACACGCGGCACACAGATGGCGTTGGAACACACATGGGGGTGGTCGCCGATATTTCTCAATGTATCTCTTTATAGCGTGCATTTGTATAGCACCTGTCAGAACACCGGGACGCCCAGTGCCCATTGGCGGTCCAGTCAATGAGTGGTCTTGAAGAACAGTCTGGCCGCCATAAC